GCTGCTCTGCAGATGTTTAATGTTTTCTGCTCATAGTAATAATGATATTGGCAATGAAAAAATGTTGGCAATTAAGAAAGCCTTTTCTGAATGGAGACATCTGTTGGAAAGGACCCTGCATTGTTCTGGGTCAAGGAATGGTGTGACATGTGTCTTATTGTGGACTTTGTCTGAGTCCATCCAGAAACGCAACTTTGACTGTACCATCGTGCCTCAAAAAGACTTCCTAGTCAAAATTCCAAAGCATTCCTAACTCTACTTAAAAGGAGAACTATGAGGTGAGTGGAAATCACTAATCCTCATAGTTCGAGCCGAAGTGTGACAAAGAAACTGTAACATGTCGGCTCAATACATCGGGAAGTGAGCGAACACATACCATCGCTCGCTCACTTCTCGATCTATCCCTGCAGAGAGCGGTGACTGTCAGTCACCGCTCCCTGTAGGGATTCCCCCCTCCCCACTCCGATCCTCCATATCTGAGTGGAGGAATGGACGGGGGATGGGGTGGGTACAGCTGGCCCTTCCTCTAGATAGGCAGAGCCAGCTGTTATTCACGCAGCTGGGTGGATCTTGACAGAATTGTCGGGATCCGTCCCGGCTGCGGCAGTCTCAATATACTGCGAGCTGTAGCTTGCGATATACTGAGTTTTGGGTCACAGGAGGAGGTTAGTATATGCCCTCATGTGACCCTTAGGAGAACTATAGGGAAAAACACTTACCCCATAGTTCTCTTTTAAAGATGGCTACAATAATGACCCACTCCTCAACAACTCCTAAGGAGATTAACTTTACCTTTAAGAATGGCTTTTGGGCTTAATTCAATAATTTCTATGTACCCAAATCTGCTTGTGTAGAAGACATCAGGCTGGTTTTTAGACTCTAAACTCGCTGGGCATTTTGGAGCCACAAAGACTAAAAAACATTTATCATCCAGTTTTCATCCCAAACCTCCCTATCTCAACTCCAGGTCCTGCTGTAACCAACAGATTATTGCCTTATGGGAGAATTAGGAGAAATGCATTGAGACATTGGGGTTGATTTACTAAATGCAAATAGGCCACTCCCTAGGCCACTTGCATATTGCAGTGGAAGTTTTCCTTAGCTTGGTGAATGTGGTGACATTTCACTTTGCAAAGAATACCCAATCATGTGAAAGAAAAATAAAAACACAGTATTTATGCTTGCACATAATTGGATGACGGAAGTCAACAGAACTACACCTCACCAAGCTAAGAGAAACTTCCCCTGCAAAGTGTAAATTCCCTTGCAAAGTGAACAGCATGTTTACCTTTAGTAAATCAACCCCGTTTATTGCAAAAAAGGCTGCTGACAGACATCACAGAGCACTTCCTACCTTTCATATAGGTGACAAGGTCTGGCTATCTACAACAAAAGATCTAAGGATGCATGTTGCATCTTCTAAGTTGATCTAAAAGTTTTGGGACCTTTTTAAATTTTAGCTCAAATAAATCCAGTCATGTTCCACCCAAAAAATCCTGATACTATGAAGATTTACCCTGTTTTTCATGTCTTATTACTTAAATTTTTGTATGCAAATCGTTTTTCTGGGAGAGTTCTTCCAACCCCTCCATGTAGGTGACAAGGTCTGGCTTTTTACCAAAAATAAAAACGTACGTTCCAACTTCCAAACTGGGCCAAAAGTATTGGGGCCTCTTCAAATTCTAGCTCAAATCAATCTAGTCACATTACACTTTCTGGCAGTATGAAGACCCTTTTTTCATGTCTCATTACTCAAATCTTTTTTAATGAAAATATTTTTTTCTGGGAGAGTTCTTTAACCCCCTCCACCTGTTGATGTACATGGTAAATAGGAATTTGTGGTTGAGAAAATTCTCTAGGACTTTCAGAAACAAGTTACAGTATCTGGTTCAATTAAACAGATATGGAAAAAATATGGAAGATAGAGGAAAAACATTCTTAGGAAACTGAATAAAATGTTTATGCTTCTAGGTTGACAAGATAATTTTTTAATAGAGTTTTTCTTAAAAACCAGACCCTAAGATGTCCAGGAAGGCCTGAGGTACTATAAGGATTCGGATGAAAACCCTGGGTTTTTGCTGTGTTGGGCATTATCTCCTCCTGCTGAGCCACCTGAAACTCTGGATAGCTTCTTGCCTGATCTCTTGCTCAATCTTCAGTGATACTCAGTCTTCTGCTGAACTCTGAACCCCTTGCTCCTCCTTTGAACTTCATATTTAAGCCATTTTTTTTGCACTTTCTGTTTGCTGGATTATTGTGGTTGTGCCAGTATCTTGCTTCCTATTGTTACTGCTACACTGCATCTTTACTACCTCTACTCGTGTACTGACCCTTGGCTGCCGAATTTCTGACCTTTCATATTGCTCTCCACTTTAAACCTGATATCATAAACCTGACTTTTGCTTGATCACTGACAATGCTTCTGCTTGCTCCAATACTGCTACTGCCTGCTGGTGAACTGAACCTTGCCTGCTGTTTCAGCTACTGGTTGCCATGCTTGATCCGAGAGCGTGACACAGATGTTCCAATGACCAATATTGTCAGCCTAATGTACAAATACATAATCAGTTTTCTATTATTCCATTTGTGAGCATCCCTACCACCCCTTTCATTATAAAGCTTTTGCTGATCTTATAATACAGTCCTCCTTAAATAGTATTAGTTTCGTAATGTGCAATTTGTAACCTGCATCCTGCTGTTCTGTTTTCATGCCGATAAATTCTAGATAAAAACGCTAAACATAAAAAGTGCACTAGATCCCAGCTTGTTTCTTCCTTCTAATTAAAACATTCTGTGACACAAGCAGCTTAAAATTATTAACTCATCAGCAGTTACAAATCCAAATAAGCAGCACCTGTATAGAGTTTATCCCTAAAGGTAAAAACAACTGTTTAAGGAGGATCACGCTGACAAAACAGCTGCTTACATGCTAGAGAGGCAACAAGGTAATATTTTACAGGAAACACCAGCCCCCTGTTTTTTTCTTCTCTATCAGCCCTATCTCATTAAGTGGCAAAAAGGCTTAAATGCTTTGTTGATAAATTATGATAATTCCTGATTGCGGCAGTTATGGATAGTGCCACTCATTTGCAATGCAGCTCTTTGAATTTGTTTAATTACAATTTGAAACAAGGCATAGAAGATTAATTAACCCACCTGGCTTGCTGGCATGTAGTCCTGGTTTGGCTCTGACATACTCATGTACATGTTATCACCGTCAAACTGCAATGTAAAACAATAGTAAAATGTTTAGCAATTAAACTTTTATTTTTTCTCAATCTCCAATAGCCCAACAAAATACTCCTTACATTTCATAAAAAGACAGTAGCTAAAAAAGTACTATTCTTTGGGGTTTTTTGCATTCTTTTGTGACACTCATTGAACTGGCATGTCAGTGATTTGCAGTAATTAGTGCAGTAGTAATTATACCAAGCAAGCAATAAATGAATGGTTTCCTTTCATCCACAATCTGTTACCAAACAAAATGGATCAGTGTGTGTATACCATGTATAGATATTGCTGCTGGGCCTAATGAAGTGCTAAATAAATTGCATAGTTTCTCATGGGAGAAGGCAAAGAGTAGATTAGTTACAAAATGCATAATGATGTATTCTACTGTCTTATCTTATTAAAACAATGTATTTCCTAATACTAATTTGTAAATCAAATAAATAGGAGTGTCACGCAAGATTACAGTGAAGGGAGAGGACATTTATTTAGAGAGCCATGCTATTCATCTATGGAACAGTCTTTGTCTTATATGAATAGTCAAACAGGGAATGGAGCTTGCTGTAAAAAACATGGCGTGTGACATCAACCTTCCTTGCAATGTGGTCATGTACAAATTACAAAACTGAAAAGAGGTGAACTGACCAAAGGTGTAACTGAAAGTCACAAGGACCTTGTGTAAAAGATGAACAGGTCCACCTCATTCATACAAAAGCATAAAACGGCTACTTTTCAATAACTTGGGGTATGCCATTTTAAATTTCCATAGACCTAACAAGCAGGCTAAAGGCTAATCAAGAGAATTCAAATGAAAAAAATAATAAGAAGAAGAACACATACAGTAGCCTGAGATGGAAATTTATACTTGTACTGTGCCCTTGGAGGCCCAGACGGTAGCTTGACCCCCAGTTTTGTTAAAAGAAGCAGGAGTTTACATAAATAAATGTAACAAATAAATAACTTTCAGAAATTTGCCTTGGACTAACACTTTTAAAGTCTTGGTCCAATGTAATTCCAACATGATTCATACTTGGCATACACTTTTCTTTAGACAGCTGTTGGAAGCTATAAAATGAACAATGAAGAAACACAAAAGAGAGTGGGACCTCCTCATCATGGCTGAAGCAAGTATGTTTTTCTGTTTTACTAAAAACTTTAAAAAAAGGCAACATATTCCTCATACATTCTGTCGACTCAAGTGCCATTGTGTACAACGTCATGTACAATAGGAGGAGATGCACACACATGTTCTAATAATTCTGTGCCATATCCATCCCCAGTCAACCTTCATTCACACAGAAACAAGGCTTAGTGGTCTCAATTGCATCCCCAGTGGATATCTGTCAAGTCTCTTCTTTGCCTTTGTTCAGCGAAACAAATCACAGATTTGCTAGAGAAGTGACAAACATGAAATAGAGCTCTTCTCTCCTTCAACATGCTTAGTCACTATTGTAACAGAAAGCCTGGGAAAATGCACAGGCCTATTGTGTTTTTCATGCACACCAGCAACAAAATTGAAAAACTGATGCTTGAAGTGGTGACATCTTTATAGAAAATGTTCTGCCTGAGGTAGTGCGATCATACTAGCATTGATTATACCACTTATTTTAATGTTTCCATCTGCTTAAGTATTATTTGCCATCTCACCTGCCAGGAGCTATCAGCAGAGATCCCTTTTCCTGTTCATTATCAATAGAAGATTAAGAAATCCCTGATGGATGCTGGGTGAATGTAGTTAAAGAGGCCAAGTAAGCATTTATTTTAACTCTACTTTAGCCTAACGACTGCAATCAAACCTATTTAATTTGCTTGTCTCATTTGCCATTGCTGCTAATGATTTAATAATTAGAAAAAAGAAAGTTTAAGCTCTGTGCGATTCTTCCATTTATGCAAATTGTTTGACAATAAGTGATCTGTTTTTCGCAGCCACATAGAGAAAACGGAGTTGTGACAAGACAATCCACTAAAATATTTTAAAGAAAATATCTTTAAATGTCAGGAGATATTAGAAAGATGCACAAAGGGTGTATATGGTAAGTATGAAATTCCTCATAATACAGCTATAATTACAACATGCACAAAACAGGTTCAAACAGATATCAAAACAGAAGTATATGTATCACAATAGCCTTATCATTAACATTGTTGTCACTACTGAAAGCCAGGATCATGTCAAAGTAGTTCTAAATTTCACTTATAGTTGTGACATTTATAGATTAATCAAGGAGGAATAAGGAATGCTCCTGAATGTTGCAGGGACTTAGCTCCACTTACAACAAAAATGATACCTTCATTGTGTGGGTGTTATAGTCAAATGTTGCCCTATGCATAGAGGGAGGTTTTGGTTGGTAAAAGTGAAGTGATTGCTCCCAACAGCCATCAAGGTCTCATCTTTCAAATTAAGCAAGCAATGTTTGGATGCTATGGGAAAACTGCTAAATGTTTGCTTCTATTTTCATTGCTGTAGTTTTAATATACAACCCCACTGTATTTAAATGCATTGATCCTGGGCACCAATAAGAACACAGAAACCCATTGCAAGTAATTATATATAAATATCTATCATTTTTTGCGAACTTCGCCAGAATAGTAACAAAATGTCATGGGTATGAATAGAAAGTTTATAATAAATTCAACATATATTGGGATTTATGGGATCCATGAAAGAGCTTGCACTTACTCAAATGTAAATTAAATGAAAAAAATAAATAAACACGCACTTTTTGAAGTTAATGCATTTCACACATCATAAACTATAGTAAATTACATTTTACTAAATTGCAAACAGAACTGGAATGTGAAAAAACAATGTTCTGTTATATTGGATGTGTGAGATGTCATTTGAGCCTTAGCACTTTACAATGATTGTAAACTGAATATATTAAACAAAATGTTTCTATAATAGAGAAAACAATAAACTTTTTTAGTAGATTTTCACCTTTATAAGATTTAATTTGGTCTTCTTTTGTGCATGTCTCCTGCAAATTTAGGCACATTGCTTTTCAAACCTTTTCTTGATTGCCTTTTTATGCCTTTGAACTATCAGAGAAAGATTGTCTTTTTGTTTATCTGGGGTTCATTTACTAAAGGCAAATAGGCTATTCACTTTGTGATGGCATTTGCACTTTGCAGGGGACGTGAGTATGTGAAAGCAAAATACTGTTTTTTTAACTTTCCTTGCACATGATTGGGTATTCTTTGCAAAGTAAAATTTGCCCACATTCACCAAGCTAAGGAAACTTCCCTGCAAAGTACAAATTCCCATGCAAAGTGAACAGCTTTTTGTCTACATCACCCCCTATGAGTTGCATGGCTGTTCTAAAGGGCAATGTGCAGTACAGATGGTATAACAGAATGCTTAAATCCAGAAGTACAGATAATAAAATTAAAAAACTAATCTCAAAGACTTTGGTTTAAAAAATCATAAATGCTTAGTTAGGCTTCTGTTGTCCATCTTGTCTCTCTTGAAAAGCCCATTGGGGAAGAGGAGTTGGCTCTGGCCATTTCCAAAACCAAGCCTGGTAAGAGTCCGGGCCCGGACGGCTTCCCGTTGTTTTCTGTTCTTATTCGTTTCTTATTCGTTTCGTTCGTTTGCAGCAAAAGTGACATTTGAGGGGGAAAAAATATTTTTCTCCTTCTCTAATGTCACTTTGCTCCAACGAACGAAACGAATAAGAAACGAATAAGAAACGAATACGAACAGAAAACGAACCGAACGTTCGTGCGAACGCTACCAAATTTCAGAAATGGAAATTCGGATTCGTTTGCATTCGTTATGTCTGTAATTCGGAATTCGGATACATCCGAATGTTCGAATTTACGAAAATTCGTCCGAATTTCGATTCGGAGCGAAACGAATCGCACATGTCTACTACATATCCTCCTGAATGTCCTGTGTGATATGCCAGATGTTATTATTGCATAGCAATGAGACTAGATTACGCTGGAATTGCCAATTGTGAGAATCTGCCTGCAATGTCTAGTGACCTAACCAAACAACCTCATAGTTAGGAGGTTGCTCACTTGAAGATGCAAAGTGATATGTTGTTTATTTGTCGTTTTTTTCTTTCTTTTGGGATGTGATATGTTTGATCACATTGTATGTACTTTCTTTGTTTACTTTGCTCAATAAAACAAAATTTTAAATGGAAAAAAAAAATGCTTAGTTAGGCAAATTCAACAATGAATATTAAGTAAAATTATCTAATAGATATCATTACTTATAATAAGGGAGTGCCAATTTTATCCAGTGCACATAGCAGTCATGCATCCACAATTATTCTGTGTCCTGATCAACATAATAAAGTCTCTGAATTACATTCTTTTAGGTAAAAAGTACAACTTATACATATGACCAGACCTAGTTACTAATTTTGTTACCATGGATTATATAACAGCTTTGCAAGTTCTTCAGCATTCAGAGACTGGAAAAAATAAAGCTTGTATTAAAAAAAAAAGTAATCTTAAAGTATATCTATCACCTATTTTTTTTATATTGCTTTACTTTTAACCCGCTAAAAAGGTTGCCTCTAGGACAGGAAGTGAGGGGAAGACCCTTCTAACAGCAACACATGCAGAAGTAAAAACTCTTTTTGAAGGGTCTAACCTTTCCCCATAGTATCCAAAATATATATAAAAACGTTTTGGGTATAGATACACTTTAAAATTAGCCATAGTAGATATTCAGCTGGGAAATGATGTATGACAAGATAGACAGAACCAACTAAGATACTGTAAAATTGTCAGCCATGCACCATGCAACATTCCCTTGCAAGGAGAACAGTCTAAATTAAACAGGAGAGTGTTAATACCAGCAATACCAGCAGGGACATTCCAGTATCACCAAACTAAATACAAAAGCAATGTTGTGGACTGGTCTAGCAATGAATGATATGCACAGGATGCATATTGTGATATATGCATATAATTCTTTATGTTTCTTACACGGATGTAAGATCATATGTGGCTACATCTTCCCCCACCATGCCCCACCA